TTTTTTTTTTTTTTTTTTTTTTTTTTTTTTTTTTTTTTTTTTTTTTTTTTTTTTTTTTTTGGGGGGGGGGGGACACTGAAGATTGATTTTTATATATTTTAACCTCTGGAAGATGCTTTTTAAGCATCGGTTTCTTTATAGACAATTGACATAAGATTTGATGGAATGTTTCAAAGTAGACATTTATTCAGAAGGAAAAAAAGTGATTTAAGTGACAACTGAATCTGAGTAATACTTACGAAAGATTTTATCATTGTCTTATTCTCTGGGGGAAGGTCTGCACACTCAGAGTACTCTCTAGTTTTTATTTATTTATTTATTTATTTATTTTTTTTTGCATTTATTATTATCATGATAGTACTGAACTTTTTTTGCCATTATGATGCTTGCTTAAAATATGACAATTCAGGACTAAAACCTGGATTAAAAGAACACCTAAATTTATAAATAATTATCCAAATAATCTCACCAGCATATTTGTAAATCATCACTAAATATTTCCAAAATTCCCACTCAGATTTCCTAGTACTAGTACAGTCATGTAACTCCAGTGACTAATGCCACATGCTTAAGCAGTTCCAATGTATTTTGTGGCATTTACTTTCTTACAGGCAACTAATTGGCTTTAGACCAAAATCAACCTCACAAACATTATGTTTTACCATAGTTTTTCTTGTCTTGAAACAATATTCAAGCAGACCTTGATCAGGAATTTAACTACTGCGCATTCTCAATGCTGTAGTAGTAATTGCATAGGCTGCAAATCTCTTAACAACAAATTGAGAGAGAGAGAGAAAGAGAGAGAGCGTCTGAGAGAGACAGATGTGTAAAGTAAATCTCTCTCTCTCTCTTTCTCTCTCTCTCTGATCATGTGTGTGTATGTGTGCGTGCATGCACATCCATACATGCATAAATTATGTTTTTCAACTACATGATTATTAAAGCAACTAAATTTTTACCATACATTACTACAGCATACATTTTAGTAGGGAATACCCCCCTTAGTCACCAATCACCAAGAATTAAAACAGCTCAGTCACCAATAAAGAAGATATATTCAGGTCAATCACCAAGAATTCCTGAATCACGTTTCACGCAGAATATTAGGCTCAAATAACGCATCACGCTCAAAAAATAAGGCAAATCACGCAAAAGGTATTCCCTACCCTCATTTTATAATGCACAAGATGAGCAAATAACTGACATGAGGATTCCTATAAATATCCCATCCTACTGAATAATGCAATGAGGGCACAGTGATCATATATATATACACATTATTTATATCAAATTATATAGGATTTACAAGCTGGTCAAACAGTAAGATTTACATTATATTATATATTTAATATTAAATAGGGATGAGATGACCGCGTTTACTGTAAGAGTCTTAAAATATGGCACGGGGTCCAGGAGACCACCTGCCTCGATCTCAAAATTGATATTTTTGGCTCCCAAATAGACGAAAATCTGCTGATGGTCCAAAAAATCTCAGCACTGATTTAAATCGGTCCTGACAAATATAAAAGACTGCTTACCTCCAATTTTTGTTAATATTCTAAACAATCTCCAAGAGCATAGTGATTTTCTTGCCATTTTCACTCCCATTGGTGGCAATAGTCTGTTATGGTATTTAAACTACAGTACATTTACTATGGCCCAACCACACATATATATAGCGCTCTTATACAACCAGCTTACAGTCAACCTGACATAGTTGGCTATCCATTTTCAGCAGTCAAGTAGTAACCTCCAAAACCAGAAAGCTTTCTGTGAAATGGTTTCCAGATATGCTGCTGACTGGAATGTCTACATGTGAAACTCATTCAGAGATTTTTTTTCTTTTTTATGATATCTAGATATATCTTATAAGTTCTATTATATAGGGGCACCCTGAACATCAGAATTAACTAGACACTAACCACTCTACTAACAATATGCCTCCAAATCTTTTATGGTTCTTATATAATATGCCTAAAAAAAACAGTGATAGACTGAGGTACTGGTAAGCAACCAGAGTTTCAGAGTATCAATCTATTTTCACCATGTTTCCAAAACTTAAACTTATATAATTTACCTGAAAAGTACATGTGGGACAGATTGAGGTATGAGAAAGCACCCTGAGTTTCATAGACTCCTGGAGACTTATCAATGTGTTTTCAGCATGCCTTCAGATGGTTCTTAAACCAGCAGAAATGACAGACTGGCACTTGCACCCTGAATTCACAAATTATTTCAAACTGCACAGGGATGCTGATATGAGGTGAGTAGATTCTTATAAACTTTGAAACTCAGGGCTCTGGGATCTTTCTATAGATACTGATGGGTTCATCTGGTCAGCAATTATCTTGAACAACATCCAGAACAGTCAGGGATATACTTAAACAATTCTGGGAAATATGAGCACCTGTCTGGGAGAGAAATTTATACATTTCTCGCTCCCACTGAAACAATCAAGTAAAAATGCTACTTAAAAGTCTATCCTTCATTTTATCATCCTGCGGCATCTGTTTTAAAAGTCATCTAATGAACCAAGACGACACTGCCTTTTTTATTTTTAATTAATTAATTAATTAATTACTCTGAAGTGCCTAATAATAGTGCCGGCACAATTATTTTTTTCCGGAAATTTTCCACCTGGCACGATCTTATTTCCCCAGCACTATTAATAATTTTCTTAACATCCATACAGCACAATTATTTGGCAGTCATTGTGCCAGTTGGAAATACTGTTGAATGTTGAATTATTCTACTAGGCACTGTTATTAAATATGGAGAATTTTCCAGGGGGCACAATTATTCCGCTAGGCATTATTATAAATTTCGGAAAATATTCCGGAGGCACAATTATTCGGTAGGCACTATTATTCGACACTTCAGAATAATTACTTTTTTTGAAAGCAATATTGTGTTAGTTGTGACAGTGCTTGCCTCTTAAATGAGGGAGACCCAGTGTCAAACAACATATTGGCTTAGTACGGATTTACATCATCCTAGAATTCATGTCTTGTCATATAAAAGTCAGGATAGTGTGTTAGTTGAGATGACACAATTGTGTCGGGTGAGATACACCTCTCCTTGCTGTTTAAACAGTGGGATTGACCCCATTTTCATAGACACCAATGGTCTACATAGATTCATCCAACTCTGTGGGGACTTTTGCTGAGTCACATAGTGAGTCAAGGCATTGTGTTAGTTGAGATGACAATATTGTGTCAGATGTGACAGAACTCACCTCCTCTTGCTGTTTAAACAATGTCATACAGTGAGTCAAGGCATTGTGTTAGTTGAGATGACAATATTGTGTCAGATGTGACAGTACTCACCTCCTCTTGCTGTTTAAACAATGTCATACAGTGGGTCAAGGCATTGCACATGTCTTTGGAGGCTGTCCCTATCTGCTGGAACTGTGACAGGAGCTGGACATGTTGGACTGTGCCTGAAATCAAGTGAAAACAATGAGTTAGGTGTGATCTGGAGACTGTGTTAGGTGTGATCTGGAGATTGTGTTGGGTATGTCAAAGTTCAGTTTCTA